CGTCTTTGGGGCGCCACCGCCGCCGCGGGGGGAGGGGGGCCGCGAAGCCAAAGCTAGGAGCCCCGCGGGCTGGGTCTGGCCCAGTGTGGCCTTCTGCAGCGGGCATGTGTGGCTGTGGCTGAGTCTGCCACCTCAGCGCCAGGTGTGCCACCGGGGGGCTTGGAGGTGTTGGGGAACCTTGGAGGTTGTATCTACGGACTGCACTCCGCGCAGTAGAATCCCGCCCCCTCCCCCAAGGCCACGGGCACTCTTACCTGCACAGACCTGCCCGCTTCTCCCCCGCCCTCTGCCTTTGCACTGAGGTCCCCACAGCAGAGCGGAGGAGAACCCCCCGGCCTGTTTCAGGCAGCGGAGGAGGAGGAAGAGATGGACCCCCCGGACTCGGCCTCGAGCGTCTTCTGCACCCGCATCCTGAGCATGGTGAACACAGACGACGTCAACGCCATCATCTTGGCGCAGAAGAACATGTGAGTTGGAGCCGCGCAGGGCCCGGGCGTGGGGAGGAATGCGCTAGCCGGCCAACATTCTCGTCCTGCCCGCCCCTGGCCCGGGCCCACACTGGTGATAAAATGAAGGAAATGAGCAAATCTGCCTCTGGCTCCAAAGCAAATTCCTCCCCGGCTTGGAGGCGAGGCCTTGGCACAGGAAGCAGGGCTTCCGGAAGGTTCTCGCAGCTGCCGGTGGCTTGGCGGGGGGCCTCGGGGGCTCCTGTCCCAAGGCCTGGCGTGAAAAGAGTTGAGGGACCAGAGAGGGGGCCGCGGTGGTTCTTAAGGAGCTGGTGGGCTGACTTCCTGTCGGGGCCCGGTCTCCCAGAGCCCAGGCCGCGTCCACGCGGTGCCCGGCGTCTCTCGCGGGGTCTGCGAACGCCCTTTGCCCTCGCCTGGGCTCGGTGCTGGGGCCTCACCCGAATCCCGGCCCGCCCGGTGGGGAGGGAAGGCCGTCCCCTCTCTGGAGTGGACGAACCGCCTCCTACTTTCTGATGTTTAAGCCGAAGGCTCTTCCCGACCTCCGTTGACGACAGCACACAGACCTGATGTCCTCGCATTTTCTCGCAGGCCTGGACCGTCCCCGGGCCTGAGCAACACCACGCTCCCGCGGCCAAATATCTCCCCTTCTCCTCCTCTGGGTTCGTGTCTTCAGACCCAGACCTAGCCCCAGGCTGCTCCACACTGAGGGGAGACTGTCATCCTAGCACCCTGGGAGGCAGAGGTGGGAGGATTACTCGAGGTCAGGAGTTGGAGATGAGACCAGCCTGAGCAAGAGCGAGACCCCGTCTCTACTATAAATAGAAAGAAATTAATTGGCCAACTAATATATAGAGAAAAATTAGCCAGGCATGGCGGCGCATGCCTGTAGTCCCAACTCTCGGCTGAGGCAGGAGGATCGCTTGGCCCAGGAGTCTGAGGTTGCCGTGAGCGAGGCTGACGCCACGGCACTCACTCTAGCCTGGGCAACAGAGCGAGACTCTGTCTCAAAAAAAAAAAAAGCAGACGCCCAGACCCTCCTGGCGCTGTGGTGTCAGGGCTGGGCCAGAGGAACCTCCCGGGACGAGTGGGGCCAAAGGGGGAGCAAAGAGTCTGCTTGCGGGAGCGGGTAGAGAAGGCCACATGCAAAGGACACGCTCCAGCAGGGGTTGAAAGGCTAAATAGGAGTTCGCCAGGTGGCTCAGACCGCAGGCAGGACTCTGGCGGGCAAGGGGAGCGGCCCGTGGGGAGGCCGCGGAGCGGGCAGGGCCCAG